TGAAAATAAAATACAAATCTTTATGTTTTAGTTACCTGTTATCATAAAGATGTATTATATCTGCTTTTTTTTTTTTAATGTTTGCCTTAAGCGAAACTAACAGTTTAAAAGCAACTGTTCACACACTGCGCTACGTTTTGCTCTTCTTTTTCTTCTATTAAATTAATACAGATTTATTTTAATACGTTGGCTTTGCTCCATGTAAACATATTAATATATAACATTATGGGCGGGCAGCAGACGCCTGTGCGATTAAGAAGATGTATTAAGAGTTTATAAGCCATTGGATATCGGTTAATGGTTGAGTTTCCCTTTGTAAGTTAACGTAGTTGAAATAAAGTAATGGGGCAACGTAGTGCTGGATGTCGCCATAGTTCCCAAGGGCAAACACCTAAACTAGGCAAATAAGTGACGTTAGAAAGTTTGTTTAAGAGTTCACACGTTAGTAAGAATACTAAACTCACTTTTTCAAAAGAATGTAAAAAAATAAAAAAAAACTTTTAAGTGGGCGTAACTTGAGCTGTCAAATGTGCCTGAGAAACATAAACACCCTCCTTCTCCTCCGCCTTCGACCCCACCCTTTACATTGCCACTCTTTCAAGTCCCAACTTGAACCAACCTAACTTCATGCGGCCGAAACGATGTTGAGAAACAAAGTAAGAATGCGCGGAGGAAGGGGCTGCGCTTTAAAGTGACTACATTATCTACGCCTTTTTGTTTTGTTTTTGTTTTTTTTGCTCTCGGTGATGTGACTGGAAAACCCCCCTTTACCCACAAGGACCATGGACGACAACGACATCTTCGAGATGGACTCCGTGGCTGACACAGAGGAGATGGAGGCTGATACTGAGCTGGGCATGATAGATGACGAAGTTGGTGAGAGAGAGAGCACCTTTATCTTTCACAAGAGTTGTTGTCTTGTTGTTGTAGGTTCATGGACTTAATCCCAGTTATCTAGAGTATGTACATGTGGTACTTGATATATAACACCTCAGTTAGGTCTTATTCATCTCTGGGAAAAGTTAGCACACACTCATTCATCACCACTCTGAATTATAATCTGTTCTCAGTTTAAACAGCTTTTATGGGTGTAACTTCCCAATATACACCTTTAAAAGTTGCTTAAAAGCAGTGGACAATAATAAAGTACATGTATTCCTACTTTCTAATATTTAAGTACAATTGTGAGAGGCTGCAACTTCACTGCACTTTAACTTTTGATTAATTTTCTTGCTAATAAATCTGTATTTAAGTAGGAACTTGAATGCAACACTTAAGATAAGTATAGTATTTTTACCCTTTGCTTTTTTTAAACTTAAGTAAGAGATCTGCTTAAAATGACTGATTCATGATTTCCCTATTTGTTTCATGTTTCACAACGACTATTTCTGCAATTATGAAACACGACCCATGTGTCATCTTTAAAAGGTTAGGTGTTAATACAGAAGTAGATGATCAAAAAAAAAAGTATTGTGAGTATAGGAGTCTGTTTAACTCAGATCATGCACATGGCATGTGTGTCAGAAGAGCTGTTTTACACCAGTGGGGGCGTGATGCACGAGGTCACACCACCATATTGCCAACACAGATGAAGATAGATAAAGGCTGTTGGGCAATCATCAGTTTAAACTAAACCAGCCCAAACACAGCAAGAATCCCTGTTTATTTTGATCTATTTTACGTCTGCTGTGGTTCTGCTGGCCAACTGATTGCATCTCTCCGAACTCGTTTGTGTCTTGCATTTCTTACATTCCTGACACAACAAACTGAAACCGCGTCTTAACTTTGGAATAATAAAAACCTACAGCTGTACGTTGCAGTGTCTGTACAGCTGTCAGCTGAAATGAATGGGAAAGATTTCTCAGTCTATAAGCGCCTTTGTGTTTTGTCTTGTCCACAGTGACATACTGTCTCAGTTCACTGAGAAACAAATGGTCCTTTGGGCTAGCTTTAATAGTAGTACAGTACATAAAAGGCCCTTACCATATGGAAATGGACACTGCTTTTCACACTGTATCACAAAGGCCATGCCAAAGTGCACTCTGTATAACGGAGCCTATGATCACCTGATATGAATTATTAAGGTTCACTCTTTATTGCAGCCTGTGATGGTGTGATAACAGCACAAAAACACAGAACACTGGCTCTTATAATACTTTTATAGTTTGCTTTGGCTCAATTATGTGCAAAGTGAACACTGTGGTGAGACAGGAAGTCTTATTTTTACCTAACTTTGTGGCTTTGGTGCCCGATTCCTCTTAACATGGCTGTTTGCCAGTGCATATTAGGGAGAGAAGTAAGTTAGGTCTCCATTGCTGGAAATGAATCTTTAGTGGTCTTATTTCTCATTCGAAGCATACAATTATTGGCACTAAATACTGAAGCAAGATCTTAAGTCTGATTCTGTTCCTGTGAAAGACATTATACTCATAGACCTCGACCAGATCAGTCATAAAATGCCCCGGGCTCTGATGCAGAAAAGAATTTCCTGTTAGATGGTAAGAAGGTCACTTGGCTGTCGCTGGCATTGAACTTGAATAGTTAAGTGTTGAAGTGTTAGCCCTTAGATGGAATAAAATCTGGATCATGCACCATGCTGTGCAAAATCCAAACAAACCCAGCTTGGCACAGCTCTTTCTGTTAAAGAATCATGCTTTTCTTTGACTGTTTGTTTGGTCTGCTATTATTTCGTGTGTTGTTATGGAGGATGTTCTCTTGAGAGGAAGTGAGGGCTG